AGCTGTGCTTCGAGTGCGCTAAGGCGTCTACAAGGCAGTCAGCCCAGCACAGCCCATCGTCTGGGCCTGTCAACCAGCCGAATGACTTTGTTTGCAGTTGAGCTTAATTAAAATCGGATCTTGTTAAAATCGAGGCGGGTGGCACCAAGCCAACAGCAGCTGGAGCGGGAGCAGCAGCGGGAGCAGCAACACGCATGATGCATATGCCATCCAGTTTGTTTGCAAGTTTAATTGAAGCACAGCCGACTTGACGGCAACACAGATTTTTGCATTTGTTTGGTGCGAGCATCGGCTCAACCAAATGCTCGTCATGTGCAGGCGTTAATTAATTAAATTATTTAGTTTCACACAAATCACAACAGCAACAATGACTCACAATTAATTAATCAAAAGTGACACAATATTCCGAATGGAAATGATTTTATCTATTGCCAAGGGTCCGATCACATCTGGATTAATTGTAGAAGCATGAAACTGACTTTCAGCTGCTGCTGCAGGTCAAATAAGCCAGCAAATTTGGTAGAGACTGCACAATAATTACACGAAATATATAATGTACCCTGTAACAAATGGAGGTGAGAATGATGAGATGTGATAAATTGACTTTAGATTTTACTCATGAATATAATAAAATAAAATAGTGTATTTAAGTAGTATTTGTACTTATATTAAAATGCATCCAGAGCTAACTGTAGATATGGAAGTTAAGTTGCACATATAGAAGCATAATTTATTCCCAGGGTATCTCACTATCGATCCGTGTCAGCTATAGAAATCTAATTTCTTATCATTAGAGCTTTGACTCTTTGTAATTGATTTTAATAATGGTATTAAATATTAAGCTGATTATTGCCACGCAGTCGACTGATTTCCATTATAATTGTATATTTGGAAGCTAAACTCTATATTGATGTGTTTTTAATTAGAGAATTACTATTTGTTAATGTGATATAAAATTAGTAATAGTCAAAATTAAAGCTTAGATAAGAATTTTCCCAAAATTCATTTAGAAATGGATAAATAAGTGACATTTTTTATATATATTTATGTTTTGCTCTTTTAAAATCATTTTAAAATTTAAAATACTAAATTATAGTATTTTTTTAAATTTTATT